CCGTTGCTGCTGCTCGAGCTCTGGCCGTGGTGCGCCGCGCCGTCATACACGAGGTGGCTGGTCAGGTCGAGCGAGCCGGCGGCGGCGGCCCCCATGTACGGGTGGACGACGGCGGGCATGGGCTTGACCTCGGAGAAGGTGGTGACGGCCGAGGGGGGCGCCGCGTCGAAGTAGGTCGTCGGCGTGTGCGTCATGGCCGCGGGAGTCTGCGTCTCGGGCGCGCACGTGGGCGGCATGAAGTGACTGACGCTTCCCGCGGCGTCGAAGCTGCCGGCGTTGGTGGAGTAGGATCCGTGGACCGACGCCGAGGGGGGAGGCGTCGCCAGGCCGCTGGAGAAGGAGTCGAACATGGACATGCTGCTGCCCGCGGGCGGCACCTGGCTCAGGCCCACGGTGCTGTCCCAGGCCTGGTTGAATGTCTCGTTCATGGCCGCCGTGATGTGCTGGCTGATGCTCGGCGTCGGCGACATGACAGCGTCCCTCGGGACGGCCGACACTGGGGCTGAGGGGTAGACGAGGGCTTTCTGCTGGTGGTATCGGGACATGGGGTCGTTGACCGTCAACCAACGCCAGGTGGTGCCCGAGGGTCGAAAGACGGGGTTGTACTTGTACCATTGGTTGGTCGTGCTGAATCGCCAGAAGATGATGGCCTGGCGGGTCCATCGCGACGAGTCAGGGGGGCATGACCAAAGCTCCTGATACATGGCCACCTTGCAGATGAGGTCGCTGCCTGTTGGCTCCCGCCTGGCCCAAGCTGAAGCGTCGCCCTCGTCCTCTGACCGCTTGCGCTTGCTTCCGGCCCTCTCCATGTCGAGCCTCTTGTCCCCGTGCTTGTTGCGCTTCTCCTTCTTCCTCTGGTGCTCGGCATCTGGGTAGTGCACCGCAGTGCTGAGAATGCTCGCCCACTCGACGGCGGGGAAGGGGACGTGGATATCTTGTCGAGGGCGCAGGTGGCACTCGCAGTCAGTTCGAGAGTCGCCGCATCCCTTGCGGTGGATCCCACTTTCATTAATGTACACTTTTGGGGGCGAGTCCTCGCTGTGCAGCTCCTCAGGCCGCGTCAACTTGGTCACACACTTCCATCGGTGGTTCTGAAGCCCTGGGCGGGTAACGGCGACCTCGACGAACCCGGTGATCTCTGAGCCCGATGGGAATTTGGCATCATCATTGAGCTCAACAGTGGTGCACATCTCCAGGAGGAGGCACTCTTCGTCTCGGGTGGGCAGCTCGAGGGTCTCGTACAGAGCCGGGGCCTCCTTCTGCCACCTTCGAGTCACCGTCTTGACACAAGCAGAGGTGGAGCGGTCCAGAGACCTCGTGTACTCGTGCAGCAGCACATCCTTGCCCAGAATGTTGGGCCCGTCGTCGCAGTTGGCGTACTTGTTCAGGTGGGGGAAGGAGGCCGGGTCGAGGGGCTGGTTGTTGGCGTCATACGCAATCTCATCCCGGAACTCAACATCGGGCGACGAAACAAAGATCTCGCACGTCTTGGGCCTGACACTGATGGCCGACTGCAGTGCCAGCAGCTGGGAGAAGTACTCATAGTTGGGTTTCACCTCGGGCACCCTGCCCTCTGCGAGCGCGGTCAGGACAGGGTTCGACTTGAAAGACTCCTGCTCCTCTTCCTCGTAGAAGTCGTCCGAATTCGTCGTTCCGGGCTCCTTCTTCTCTTCTGCTGGAAACAGGAAGTGAACTAAAAAAAGCACCAGGTCAGCCAGGGGGCGATAAAACAAGGGTGAGTATCGAGATCTCCTTACAGCAACGCAAGTCCTCAAAGAACTTCTTTACGACCTGCATGTGACTTGAAACTTGTTTCCGACCCATCTGTTCGATGCTGTCATTGCTGTTGTCAATGCGGAAGATCTCCTTGCTTCCCAGGAGTTCGACGCAGATGACAAAGATGTATTCGCTGATGAGCATGTTGCGTCCGTGGAGCTTGCCACCCATCGAGAACTTGCGTCGACCCATATGCGGCATCAAGAGCACGGCTATTTTTGTTTCCAAACTCGTCAGAAAATTGCACACCCTTGCGTCGACGACCCGTAAAGCTTCAAAGGATTTTTACTTACAGTCGACAAAAGCATCCTCAAGTTCTGGTCGCCGCCAGACTCCACCCTTGTCCTTTTGCGTATCTTTATGGGCTTGCCTATTCCGGTACTGTCGGAAAGCGGGCCAGAAGTAGAGAGGATTGACGCCATTTCGCGGTCTCCGTTGGTAGCGAGGTGCCTGGTGTCGAGGAGTCTGGAGGCGATGAAGGCAGTCAAACGACTGCGAGGGTACGATGGGAGGCGGGATGGTGCTGGGAATGGGTGGTGATAACCCATCTGTGTAGCAGGATAACATGCCACCAAAGGCACCGGACTGGACGTTGCCAGTCGACTCCCTCAGGGGAAGTCTGCTGCTGTCCGCGTTGAAGTTCCGTCTGGCATCGAGATAATCTGACGATGCAGGCGAGTACCTTTGCGAGGACAGGACCGGGCGTGGCTGGTACAGTGATGATGACATATCAGGCAACCGCCTCTCAGGCAGGATTGAGGAATGTCAGACGACGGAGGAGGAGACGCCTGGAGAAACAAGATGACCTCTTGGCCGGATGACCTGAATGTGAAGAATGCCTATCTTGGGGTGTTGCTCACTCACTCACGAATGAAAGATGGGAAGAGCAGAGCAGACCATGAAGGACAAGAAATGCTGGAAGGAATTCAGAGACGTGGAATGGTTGTATAGATGTATTCGCCAAAGGGCACAACAAAGTTCAACTGGAACGGAGCCCAGGATGGCCAAATGGGGCCACCATGCTAAAGGAGAACTCTTCCTGCTAGATAGATTCAAGACTTGCGGAGAATTGTCAGTTTGACAAAGGGCAGATCCGTCTTAGCCCTCGCCCCTCAACTCAAAATATCGAAGATGTGCCATCGTATCTCCAGGTGGGCATCCACCCCAGGCGAGGGTGGTGGGCAGCGGCCGGCGCTTGACAGGGAGCTTGATGGGCCGGGGGGAAACTTTAGCAGGCACTCACTTCTGGGCCGATGGAGACTGGTACGATGGTCTGTGCCAATCGAGATCGGCTGTATGAAGCAACAAGCACATGGCAGGTCGGAGCTTGGGGAGAGGGACTTGTATGCAAGGGAGGGCGGCAAGCGGGGGGGTTTGCCAAGCCAAGGTCTCATCATTGGACGTGCTAAAGATGTGCCTCACAAACTCATCCGGATATGCTTCAGGTATGTAGACGAGATGAGTATCAGACATAAAGAGGACTCCCAGATCCTCTTGCCCGAGAATCGAATTCTTTACAGCGCTGGCCTAATCCATGCCCTTGGGCAGGACAAAGGCAACTATCGCCAGGGTTACCCATTTTGTCCACTTAATATTGAATGTCCCTTGCAAGGGAGGCCAACAAAAATTCAAAGGGGACAGAAATATCGCTGCCTTGGGTATGGCGAAGGTAAAGCCAACTCATGGAGGGCCAAAATAGCTTTTCAATTTCTGACCCTAGCCATCAAATCCCTCCTCCTCATCATTGTCCCCTATATTGATCTTTTGCCTCCCTCTACCAACTAGCTGTTGCAGGGCCATTTTATTGACTTGGCCCCCTACTTTACGCTGCATCTTCTCGATCTCCTCCTCAGCATCGAGGGCTTCCGCCTCTGCAAAGTCAAGCACCAGCTTGCGGCCGAGAAGGTGGGTATCCCTCAACGAATTTAGTGCATTTTCAGCTTCTCGAGGTGTGACGAAATCGGCAAAGGCAAACCCCCTTGAAGTATAGTCCGCTTTCTTTGGAACGCGGACAGATCTGAGCTGACCGTAAGTACCGAATAGCGCCCGAATATCCTTCCTAGTAGCTTGAAAGGGTAAGTTCTTGATAATGATCTTCGTTCTTTGACCTGCCGCCTTCTTGGCCTTGTCATCCCGCTTCCGCTCTTCTGCAGCGTCAAGGCCTCGATGGGATGCCTTAACGCCAAGAGTGTGGCCGTCTAGTACATAACCGTCCATAACTTTAAGAGCATCTTGAGCTTGACCCTTATTAAGGAACTCCACAAAGCCAAAGCCCATACTTAGCACTTGACCAGGCTTCTGGGGGTCCGTCTTGGTCTTGACCCTGGCTGACACAAATCCGTCGAGAGACTCAAAAGCCTCCGCCAATCTACTGGTTGTCGTGTCGAAGTTCAAGTTGCGCACAAACAGGGATGTAGTCTCCACCACCTCGTCCGTTGTATCACCGCGTGACAGCAGGTCATCAACGTTAGGCTTTTGGTGGCCAACAGGTCGATCGCTCACCTGTGGAGTTAGCTCCGTCACGTCGCCACGGAAGAGATCCTTAGGCGCCTTTTCCAAAAACAGCACGCTGTCCTTGATACGGCGATAAGCCAGCTTCCCGAAGGCCGCTTTTGCGTGATTGGCTTTGGTGAATTGTATTATGGCAATAGTTCCACTAGGAGGCATCAAAACTTTCAGAACTGGGCCGTGCTCCTCGAACAAGCTTCGGAGTTCTTCCATGGTGGTACCGTATGGGAAATTCTTTACCAGAATGGCAGTGTCTCCTCGCTTCTGTGACTTGAAGGCACCAAGATCCACACCATTAGCAACGAAGTAAGCTTTTGTCTCTTGAATGACAGTCGTCTCGGCAATAGCCTGCTTGACACCGGCATCCGCTGATGTAGGGTCAAGCAGCTCGGATTTTGAAACACCCAAGCGGCTAGCCACTGATGCATTGACGGCATCCTGGCTCATGAATAGCGAATTCCAGTTGAATGTGCTAGACGATGCCTCTGCCTTTTTCCGAATCATGTTCTGCTTCTTCAAGGGCAGCTTTGAAATTTCCCATTCATTCAGGCCGGCGTCTCGTTTGGCATCAGCTGGAATGATGTGAATGAGGCGCCCCTGAAACGTTGACCCATCCATTGCCTGGAATGCTTCGACCGCGTGTGACGACTCCACGAAAAGTACCAAGGCAAATCCCTTGCTGGAGCCTGCTTTGCTCATCGGTATGTGTACCTGGGGCCAATTAGCAATCAAAATACTACAACGTGTATCAATTACATTGTGAGTGAATGAATAAGCAGTTCAGACAGTCGAAGCATCTACTAAAATATTCGCCCAGGTTCACATCATACACTGAAGTGTAAGTTGTCCCTATCTTGGGGTTCATCATGTAGCTTATCTCTCGAGACGGAGAGGGATCGTTTGTGGAGAAAGGTTGCGCTAATGGCAAAGGAAATTAATCAACATACCTCTTGTATAGGTCCAAATTGTTCAAAGCACTCGCGGATTTCATCTTCGGAAGATCCGTAAGGGAGATTGCGAATAAAGAGCCGAGATGTGCGGCGAATTGACTCCACGACATCCTCTGTCTTCTGCTCACTTTCATCTGCCTTCTTTGCCACCTCATCTCCGGCATCAGGTGTTTCAACCTGTGACTGAGCTGGCTGGGGCTCATGATGGGCCCCAGGCTGTGGCGGGCTATCCTTGGCATGGCTGGGAATAGATGAGTCCAGGTCATCAGGATCCACCAAGTCCAAAAGCCGGTTCGTTCTTGACCTTAGCCAGTCGTCATCTGTTGCTCCAGGGACAGGAGGAGCCGCTGCCTCAGTAGGTGGCAACTCTTCTGACTCAGGAGGGGGATCTGCATGGGGTGTTTGTGTATCTGAATGCGCCTCCTGTTTTTTCAACAGATTGCGATTCCCATCTGGCTGATTCGCATTGCGATCCATTTCGGGATTCGCTATGTTGCGTTTCTTATCCTTGGCTGACGGAATCTCCTCGTATTCATCATCACTCTCGCCCTCGGGCACAGGCACATCAGGCTTGGGCAAACTAGCCTCTCCAGCAAAGTTGGTGGCATCTGCCATTGGGTCCTCCTTGCTCTTGCCCATGACTTGAAGAAATTCTTGAAGCTTGGGGTCGGCAGTCTCCTGCTCGCCTCGCTTTTGCTTCTTCGAACTTGAATCAGCAACAATGTTACTCTCGGGAGCCTTGCGTTTTGCCGACTGGCCATCAAATCGCACTGAGCCCTGTGACTTGTGCAGAGCTGGGTCTGAGATCTAGCATTCCATCAGTATCCTGTTGATGAGCCGAGACAACCGCGGGACTTACTGGTCTGGCGGATTCGACCGATATCTTAGACATGCGGACATAAGACTTGTTGAAGTACTTGATCGCCTTGGAGGCTACCTCGGGCGTCTTGTAGCCTACATAGCCAATCCGACGTTGGGGGATAAGCTTGACATCAGTGATTTCACGGTTGCCGGCCGAGAAGTGTTTGCGGAACTCGGCCTCGGTGATACTAGGAGGAAGTCCCTTGACAAATATTCTTGAAGACGTCATGTTGGCCATGTTTGAGGGTGTCCCGTGAGTGGTGGTGGACAATGAAGGTACACACGCGCACTCATGGTGCCCTTTTATGTTTGGATGGGAGGCTGGCAGAAAAAAAAATTATTGTCAAGCGCGGACTTTATCGCATGTGGGGCCAGTTGGATAAGCAACACACCCCTGTCCACATTCGTTACTCAGGTATGCCCTGTTCCAGTTTAGCCTTGAGAATGGCCTACCCTAGAGGGGATGATTTATTTTGTGAATATGAGCGTTATCATTTTATCAATAATATTCCAAACTCATATAGACTGATGATAATATTCAGAGTTATACGGAAATTTACACTGTTTCTGGCGTGAGTTTAGGATCAAACTCACCTAGAGTCAAGAAGTTAGATCAACTGGTCCAGACTTGTCGAGTCTGAGATGCGACTCACGTCAACTTAACGATCATTATTTGTTACATGCCTGGTTGCTTCCTAGCTAAATCTCCAACCCAAATGGTTATCTACCAGAAAGCAAGCATATACGATTGCCAGCATGATTTTATACATAGCAATATTTCGTTATTTGGGACTGATGTTTGCCAGTATAATCATGCCTTTGAAAACGCATCCGAATTGTTCACTTACTTCAAAGATACAGGCCTTGCAACAAAGTGCAGCCATGAAAAAAGGTCAATTTTATACTTCTATCATGTGATTACAATTACTGGCCAATATTACGGGAATGACTGGTACAGGTTGCTTGGAGCCGGAGGAGGAGTAGGAGTAGGAGCTGGAGCAGGCTGAGGCTGAGGAGCTGGCTGAGTAGGAGGTTGAGGAGGCGGCCGAGGAGGAGCATCGGAGGAGTAACCATGGGACGCGTGAAACAAGCACCCCGAGCTCAAGTTTCACTCATAGGATAAGATTCACTTACCAAGATGGTTGAGATTTGATAGACCTCCCGGAAATTCGTTGCCTCTGTAATTCTATGTGTCAAGCCAAGTCTACCCAACCACTTCCGCGGACGAAATCCAACGACCGTACTTAGACCCCTTCGTATCTAGCTATGTAAGACTGGGAGCTCCAGCTTAATCCAACGACCACCCAGTGCTAATTAACTTCTCTCGGTTTACTGTGGTTGTTCTATGATTAGGGACCAATTTTGTGTAACTGCGCTGCAGAGGCAGCAGTTCTGAGTCATGGCGATGTTTCAAGGAGGATTATTGTTCCACGACAAACAAAGAACTGTGTACCAACTCAGGTACATATGTCAGACGGGAGCGTTGTTCGACAGATATTCAACGAGGATACATTTCCCAAGGGGTTTTTACGTAGGTAGGTAGTTTCCATCGAGAAGTTTTGGTGTAATTCATCAAAGCGTATCCCTGTCATACGAAGGACACAATCATGATTCATCAGAGGAAACTTCTCAGGGTCACGATATGCTTGGTTCTCTTGCTGCGAAAATCTTAGTTGGCGCGTCGGGCGTTATTGAATCATTCCACTATGCCGAAGTTTTGTGTACCAGAAACTAAATTCGTCGTGGTAGATTGCTACTATAGAGTAGTATGGGAATAGGGTAGGCTCAGCGGGAGGGGCATGGATTCAACCTCTTTTGATAAAAGGACTCAAAGATATAGTTCAATAACCGTTCATCAACCGAGCAGAAACTTAAAAGGAAAGTAACTTTGGCATGAAACTGCAAGTCATCCATGGTCTAAAGAACCTGAAGCTCCATGTAGAGGCAGAGATGCAATTTGAATATCCAGCAAGAGTGAAGTCCAGGAATAAGTTGTGCAACACGACCCCAACATCAATAACACTGCAACCCACATTAGAAGCCTCCCAGCACACTCAATTAAAGCTTAAATGGGCCAGGGACTCCCGAGCATTCAATAAAATGGGCCGACTGGCAGTAACACGTCACATCGCCGTGCGTGACGCTTTGTCTAAGAACAGCCCAGCGGTTCGCTTTCAACTTGTAAAAGTGGGTTTTCGGACCGCGTTACGTTTCAACACAACCGGTGCATATGGAATAATATTGCGCCAGAATATATGTTGCAACGAGACCTGTTAGTGTTGATACCAAGAAGCACTAAATCGTGCAGTAGGACGTGGGAAGGAGCTCCTGGGTTGGAGCCTGGGGTTGGCTTGTGCGGCGTGCCCCAGAGCGGATCCTAGCCCGGCTCCACATCAAGCTCTGCCACTGCACTGACACGGCCTTTAAACCCTGCAGCCGCCGTGACGCCTAGGATATCACAACACGCGACGAGAATCTCGACTCCATACCTCGATTGACCCTTTAGTCATTGGCGCACCCTCCAACGTCGTCGCATTACACCCAAACCTTCGCCGTATACTCTGTACCCAGACATTTTCCACCCAGGTCACCTTGGGAAACTCTACCGGTGCGTCACCGACGAGCTCTCGGAAAGCTTCCAAATAGGGGGACGCCTTTCCTCCAGGCTTGGGCTTGATGAAGAGCTTCCGCGCCCTGCTTCGCACGACATCTACTGACATCTACCTGGCGCAGAATCGCGATCTCTTCCTTTATCATCCCTACCGAATCCGAGAAACAATCACGATGAGCGATCTCAAGACCGAGAGCCCCGCCCCGCGGGAGAAGCTTGAAGGTGGGATACAGAACTCCCCACATTGAAAACAAACCATTGGGAATTATTCTTGGCAGGTGTTGACAATCTTTCTGTGCAGCTCAGATCAAGTCTGCCGATATGGTACGGGAAAAGCGCCCCTCGCTCATGCGGTGAGCGTCAGGAACCATGGCTAACCGCAGCAGACCGAGGATATGCAGCAGGAGACTATTGAAGTTGGTACGTTGTTGATGTTGCCACTGCGGCAGCCAGGCCTGTTCCGCGCGAATGGCACGGCTGACATGAAGCGATGTAGCTCAAGAGGCCATGACGAAGTTCACCATTGAAAAGGTTCGAGTTCCGCCTTCTTACTCCCATCGCCCCAGGGACGTGCTTTGCTGACCACCCACGCAGGACATTGCGCAGCACATCAAACGAACCGTCGGTCAATCCCCGGGCCCTTTTATGTCGTGACACGAGGAGAGCTGACATTGTTGTGTGGGGGATAACAGTTTGACGAGCGAAAGGGCCCAACCTGGCACTGTATCGTTGGGCGAAATTTCGGAAGTTTCGTAACGCACGGTATGTGATACCGGCACACTACAGCCGCCTGGACTTGTACATTCCTTCTGGATGGAACAAGTTACAGATCTGAGCGCCGTTTTCTTTGGATATGTGTTTGAGAGGCAATCAGGGCTAATTGATCCGTTTACAGAGACGAAGCACTTCATCTACTTCTACCTCGGACACTGCGCGATCCTCTTATTCAAGACACAATAAAAACAAGGCGCATTTGGGTTTTTGTTGCCTTTTCCTTTTCATCCACCTTCCCCTCCTTTGACAACCGAGGATTCTCATTGACAAGACGAGGTTGTCAATTTCAGCTTGTATAATAAGGAGTAGCTTGTGAGCCTTGAGGAACTTCGAATAAAAACATTTCAAAACTCTATCATAAAATAAAGTTGACAATCAGCAATGATCCCTAGTCTCATAGAAGAGGACTTGTAGAAGCAAGCGGGATTCGTCGTTGGCGGGGAGAGAGTACGCTGGTGTGCATGGCTGGGACCCCTCGCGGCATATAAATTCCGGGGTAGCAACCAAGGTCTCACGAGGCTCTTCGACCCAAGCGAAATAGGCCATTCATCACTACCTACAAGGGATATCTTATTTGTTACGTATTGACAGGATTAAAGCTATGTTGTTTTCCTTCCCGGTGGTGCAGGGTATCCCATGAGGCTCTCGATCTCGACGGGCGATCGGATGAGCATGTCTCACATATTGGCTGTTCCTGAGACAAAACCATCTTATTGAACCCACACCACTTTTGGCCAGCAATGGTAGGCCGTGGCTCCGCAGGGGATTCTGTTCCGACTGGCAGTAGTTTGCGGCCCCCCCTCGGCAAACTTATCTATGATCAGTGACTAGCGAGACATATGGGGAGGAAGACAAGGTGAGCCAGTTAGAGCAAGCGCCTTCAGCACACGACAGCAGCTAGCCTCTCATAAGAGGGACCCAATGAGACACATATCGTCTCGTCACCAGATCACAGGGAAGTCTGGTTGCAGCGTGTATCAAAAGCTACATTGGGACAAGGTAACATGACCATTGAGCAAGTTTTGAAAACCGCGAGATCGGGATCGGGGTCTATAGTGATTTCAATTTCACGTTTTTAGGATGGGCATATAGTGCCAGGTTACCGGGCCATCGCGATGGGCCTCGGTGCCAGTAGCCAGCCCTTGATTTCCAAGACGGTCAGAGTCTTTTGCTAGATTGGGACATCACACAGGCAGAGCGAGCTGAGAAATGGAGACCCCGCTTCATCGTGGGCAGGATGCGAGTGGGCACACCAAGACAAGACTGACGACTGCAGCGTCGTGGCGTGCGCATAAGTAGGCAGGCAATAAAGAGCGAAAAGGGCCGGTGGCCGGCTAGACGTGAGCAGCTAGCGCCTCTTTTGGGGATGGCTTTCCAATGCTCGTTCTAGCGGGTGTTGGATAGAGTCGGTCCAGACGAGGTGAGCCGTCTTAGCACGTCTAACTTAAAGGCCGCTTGTCGTGGGCTGCATGTAGAATCGAACTGGGGAGAGGGAGGCTTGGTAGTGGGCGGGGGGGCTTCGAGCATGATTGGGTTCATTCCGCATTCTGCTGTGGGGAGCGAGGCAGGTCTACGTAGGTGGTGGTGTCCAGGCCGTAGGTGCATGCCGTCCTGCTGCTGTCTGTGCTATCGTGCAGCGCATGCACCATGCATTTCTGCACCGCAGATACCCCCATACTTATGTACACGCCCAGGGACATACCTGCATGCATGCACCACCCTCTTCAGCATCGGCACGGCCAAATTCGGAGGCTCGGAATCTGGCTGACCATTGGAGGAAAAGGGGAAGTCAACATCCTGCGAGGAGGAATCCCTCAATGAGATGGGATGGAGCTTCGCGACGCACCGTTATTTTCTTTAATTATGCTATCCAAGTTGTGGAGAAATTGGCAGTCGAAGAAGCAACGGCCCCCTGGCTAATAGTCGACGAAAACAATCCAGGTCAAACTGGAGGGGAGCATGGACCAAAGAGGAAGATTGACTTGGTGCAGGGGCTAATTGGCACCACGCTCTTGCTCATTGTGTCTGGCCATCTTAGCTTGGTGGCGACGAAGGTTAATCGACCTAGGATACCAATAGACCAGGCACTAGTGTACATGTGGATGGATTGGAGGTTGGGGGAGGCGAAGGGCGGAGGAATATCTGGAGGTTTGCCCTGCAGAACAGACGAAGCAGCTTGTAGGTTAGGTATGTCCGCCTAGTAGGAAGTCTGCAGGGTAGGTAGGGGCCGAATAGACCGAGAGGTGTGTGGTGGTGCCGGAACGCTACGAATGGATCCGCCAGTCTCTTTAGCGCCAATGGAGCACGGGTAAAGGACGCTTCTTATTAATCATTGAGAGACATGCCGTTCCTGGCAGATTTGAGGAGCATAATGAATGAACAACGCATCGGAATTCCACGACGAGCGGGGAGTCAGCAGAAAAAGAAAGAAAGAAAGGTGTAATAAAACAACACACTGCAACCAGGTGGAAGGTTGAGACTCCGCATCCGATGCAGTTATCGGCGCATTATATCCTTCTGTTGTCTTTGACCCCAAATGCTCTACTGCGAGGCCCCAAAGGGTAGCCAGTTCCTCGGGTATCCATCGGCCATCTGGCTGGTGGGAGAAGAGAGGAGGGTGGGCAGGCGAAAACGGGGTGGAGTGACGGTGCATGTACCATGCCCGATTTGCATGACTTGCAGCGGGCCTAGCCGTGAGGACGAACGTAGCTGTGGAAAACACAGCAGAGGCAGGCTCGCCGGACGTGGTATGAGAGGAAGGTGGTGAACCCCATATGCACCACCTGCCTGTTTCTTCCTCAAAAGGACCTATGGCCCAATCAATAACCGACGGCTGCTACGGCTGTTTACCTTCTATGGACCCAACCGGCCGCCATGCTGCCTCGCCTATGCTGCCAGTTTTAGGGCCTCACCTCGGCGAGAGCAGCATGCACTAGCTATGCTTGCCGGAGGGTGTCTGGTGAGAGCGAGTGTGGAGAGAGCGGCCGATGAGGCATGCTGGGGTTGTCCCTCCACGGTTTGGGGTGTCAATTTTCATCCCGCCCACTTCGCTACCCTAGATGCCGCCCCAACACCACATCTTCGACTCCACGGCTGTAATTTTTGTGTTGGTCTCGAGAAGGGGTTGAACGACCAGGTTTTGTTGTTGTTCCGCATTTGTTCCGAAATTGTTCTTCGTTGTTCTTTATGCTGGCGACAATGCATGTCCGTCCTTCGCTCTGTTGTGTCATTTTTCATGCCGCCCACTTGCAAACGCATCGTATCTACACACCACACCGTAACACACAGCATGGCTGGTCCGAGATCCGGCCCCTCTGGACGAGTTGTACCACTCATGTGCTTCCACCACGTCACTGCTAGGCTTGAGTACCACCCGTCCATCCGGAACCTGCCTGCCAACCAAAGAACTACATGGAAGCATCTGTGGAACAATCCGAACACTCTGCTGACCGACTGGAAAACACTGCTGGCAATCCTGGTATATACAACAGTCGGCTGTTAGGTTCAAGGTATCCGACAGTGCGTTAACCGCGGGAGGCAAGGCTAGCCAAGGCTTGACCAGGCACCATCCTAGGCCGACATGCTAGGGTGACAACGACTCAGTCTCCGACAGAGTCTCACGCGACATCTTGCTAGTCACCCGGCGAGTTCCAGGCGCCGCGGAAAACAAGTAAAAAATGCACCTTGTCACCCACCCCCTGCCCAAACAAGAAGTAGACTGCACAAATTCGCCAAAGTACAATTCATGTCAAAAGCACGTCGCAGAGGTTCCATTGATTAAGCATAAGGCATTCTTCCCACCCTGCTGCCGCCTACTTCAGGACGGATTGTGCTGGACATTACACTCATTCCATTCGTGTTACATTAGCCGCTAGCCTCCTGGGCCAGGCGGACCCCCAATTCCCTAAGCCCTGTACCTACAAATCGTGGAAACCTAGAATATCGCCCGAGTACCTCGACATGGTGCCGCCATAGAATGGGCTAAACCAGGTCTGTCAAGAAACTCTGTGTTTTTTTTTCCCCCTGCGGTGTGCTTCGATTTGCAGTGACGGCCAACACCCCGGGTCTTAGACAGCAGAAATATATACATGGTGCGTTCCTGGGGAGAAACAAACCTTAACCCGAAGTAGCGAGACAACTCGTCATGGAGTAAGTGCACCCAGTATCAAACCACCGAATCTGCGATATCCGGCCGCCTTATCTCGCCAGCAAGGCGTGCATGGAAAAAAGAGACACAAATTCTACACCGCGCAGCAAGTCGCCCGACTCTCATCCCAAAGGCACACGCCGCCTTTTCCCTCCACCACTACAAGATAAGGTGGGACTTTTGTCACGGGGTCACCGATCTTATCGGTCTGAGATGGAACAGTTGTGTGTGTCGGTAGTGTCTGAATACCATAAGCACGGCATCTTACACCCATCACGCGTTTGCCTCCAGCCCGCAAACTCCATAAGCCCAGATGCTCAACGCGGTGCGAAAGGCGGCTTCTCGATATTTGATGGATCTCCTCTCATGTCCAGTGTGCTACTGATGTAGGGATAGTAGTGGCTGATCAATCTGACTGGCGGGGATAGCCGGCCGACCCTTGAACATTTAGGTGAACTATTTCTGTCGTGGACCAGGTAGTCGTCCCAAACGGGCACTTGCGGCTGGCGGTCTACAGCGCGCTCTACAAATAGTTTGAGGTGCAAATGAAGGCACAAGAGTATAACAGGAGGCATTGCCCCTCGCACGAGCCCCCGGCATGGGAGTTTGGGGCCTTAAGTAACGCCGGCGAGACTGCACAGGCAGTTGGAGAGAGGCGGTGTTTCGCTGGAGCCTTTTTTAGGATGTTCAGGAACCAACGAGTCGAAGCCCACCCCCTCGATCTGTCTCCCATGCAGCAGTGCCGACCACAGAACCCAGCCCAGCCCAGGACGAGGGAGGCAGACGGCCATGTGATGCGGTAGACCGGCCGGAGTCTAAAACAGGCCAATCAAACACCCCTGGGCGATGCTTAGGTAACCAGTGCACGGCATGTAGGTACCTGAGAGCGAGAGCCAGGGTTGGGAGCCGCTAAAATTACCAGTACTGTAGGGATTGGAGATGGTTTCCATCCTCCCAGGTTTTGCCCGTCGCGAGCGCATGACTGCAATAAATGCCCGCGATGGAGGAGAATTGATTAGACGGCGTCCCTTCCTCTTAT